TATTCGGGGAGACCGGGCACGGTCAGTGGGCTGGTGTTTCGTGCACCAGCTACTGCGTGCCAGCAGACCATCCGCGCTAAGCATGCAAGGGGCGACTAAAAACAGAGGCTTTTATCTCCCGGCGACGATCGATTGTGATCACGCCTTATGGCCGCGTTTAAAGGGACAGATCAGTTAACACCGTTTCCGCCCGCGCGCTTCCCTCGGCGCTATCGACCGTGTTGAGCGGGCTATCGGCCACCGACAGGCGCCTCTCCGACCGGCCCGACCCGGTCAGCCACCACCTCCCCAAGCCCCGGGCCGGCTCCAGGCGAGGCCATGCCGCCGCGACCGGTCGGCGTCAGGCCGGTGACGTCACCCGCTCTCGCCACCTCGGCACGTGTGACGTCACCCGGCCGGCCGGCGCCGCACGTGGGCGCCCGGGAGCGCACCGGCGGCCCGACGGCAGGTCGGCGGTGCCCGGCCGCCGGCGGCGCGCCCCGGCCGCCGCGAGCCGGCCGTCGGTGACCCCCGGCCGACCGTGACCCCCGCCGATCGACCGGCGCAGCCTCGGGCGCCGCCCGTGACGTCACCGGTCCGGAAGCACTTGCCTCGAGCAGCTGGATGGAGAGGAGGCGGCGGAGCAGCGGGCGCGCCGGCGACGCCGGCTCTGGCCCGCCCGCCCACATGGTCACCGCTGGCTCTCGCGCGCCGTGCGCCGTCTCCCTCGCCGACGACGGCGCACTGCCGTCCCGTCGCCCGGCGACCGGCTCGGCGTCGACGCCGACGAGGCCGCTCAGCTGGCGGCCCGGGGGCGCGGCCGCGCGTCGCCTGTCGCGCCTGCGCTCGCCGCCGGCACTGGCGGCGCCGCTCGAGGCGCGCTCACGGGCGGCGGCGACCCGAGACGGCGCGTGCGGCGGCGGCGCCGCGCTCGGGCGCGCTCGCCGCCGCCGCCCCTGCGCTCGTGTTTACAGGCCGCTCGACTATCAACGCCCGGTCCGATCAGGCGCCCCGGCGCGCTATCAATCCGCCGCGGCGCGGGACGCAACACGGCCGCCGGGGCAATGCATGCTGATGGGCGGCGGCCGGGCCGGGCCGGGCCGGCTCGCGGCGCCTCCGCCGGGCGACGGCTTCATCGGCGCGCGCAGAGTGGGCGGCGCGCCGCCGTGCCCCACGCCCGCGCGGCGCGCCCGATGGTATCGCCGCCCCACTGCCTCCCGCCCGGCCTCCGGAGCCGTTTCCCGTCTGTTTCAGCCCGATCTGTCCGGGCGCGCCAGCGATAAGCGTCCAGGAAAGGCGGCGACTCAGTTCGCTCCGCCCGGCCGGCCGCCTTCCGCGCGCCGCCCGGCGTCCATTTCTCACCAGCCCCTGCGCCGCCGCGAGGAAGCCAGACCTGCCTTTGCATACGAATGCCTCCAAATTGGATTCGCTACATAAGCGGGCGGCGCGGGGTGCGCGGCACCTCTTAGGCCACTGTGCGGCCGCCGAGTGTTTGAGCGATGGCAGCGGCGCGGCGCGCGGACAACAGGTGTCACCGTTACGGGTTGGGGCGTCCGACAAACACGACGGCTACGTGCCCCGCACGCGTCAGGAGGGCCGCCGCCGATGGCGGCCGGCCCCACACCCGCGGCACCGCAAAACGAGGCCATTAAACCGCGCTCTGCAGCGCAAACGGGTTTCCAAGGCTAGGCCGGCGGCCAAACAACGGCGAAAAAATGCATCTGACTTTAACATGAGCGGTGGCGGCGGCCGGGCGGTGGGCGGTGTCGCGGTGGACGCCCGGGGCGATCCCTCCGCGCCGCTCTGTCCTCGACCCGGCCCCCCGATGGCACGGCGAGCCGGCAGACGCCGCCCGGACCGGTCAGTGCCGCCACTTGCATCAGCCGGTAGCCGCGCGGAGGGCGACGGCGCGCTCCACCTGCATACGGACCTGCCGCTACGCCACCACCCCCGCCGCCTCCGCCGTCCGTCGCGGACCATCCATCGTACGGTTCGAAGCAGCCGGCCTTATAGGGGCGCCGGCCTTGTGGCACGCGCCGGCGCTCATCGCGCGGCTGCTCTCTGCCGGGCGCCCACGCGCCGCCCACGCGCCGGCCTCGCTTCCTGGCCGGCTGGGGACGAGCGCGTGGCCAGCGGGCGCCGCGGTCGGCTGGGGACGGACCGCGGGCACGGACGCCCGTGGTTTCCTGTTGACGGCCCGTCCCGCGAGCGTCGCATCGAGGGACTCAATGCTTAAGCGCAACCGTAGAGTTGCGTCGGGAACCCAATGAAAACTGAAGAGACGCCAGCCAACTCTGCCGATACCGAGCACCCAGCGCAAAGGCGACCCCAACGCCGGCGTGCGCGCGCTCGCCAGATCTCCCTAAGACCGGCCGGGTGCGTGTGAAGGAGACTGTAGGGTGGTGACGAGTGAGATCACGCTCCAGAAGGCGCCGGCCGCTGAGGCCAGGCCGCGTTCGGACGGGTGGACGGGCGGGACGCACAACAGCACACACGGCGACACGTCATCCCCTTCAGCGTCGGCTGCTGGTGACCACGACGGAACACAACCAAACACAGACTCGGCATGCTGCGACATCCAACTACTCCCATTCACCCACCCACTCCAGCCCCCGCCCCCCTCCTCTCAGCGGTGCAGGTGGACCCGGCGGCAGGGTGGGAGTGGAGTGCCATGTAAACCCGCAGACTCCTCATTGAACAACACCCCGGACCGCCAAACCCGTTACAGCGCAGCCGATAAGATCACGCGGCGGCTTCTTACAGTACGCTTTCGGTGAGGGCGAGTCAACAACCATTCCGTACCAGTCCCTGGCCACTCAAGAGCGATGGCAAAAACACGGGGCGACATGGTCAAGTACAACGCAAGTGACATCCTAAAGTGGGATGCTTAGACACAAAAGATAAGGTGCTCAAATGGGTTTTGGGGTATGAGTTGTTGATTGTAAACTTCAAGAGATAGACGAGTGTGCTTTTGCGTTTTTTAATCATTCGACAATCTGCAAGCAGTGTCAATGGAGGATGATAGCGAGGATCGAACAAGAAAAACTCGCATTGTTGTTGGTAAATCAAACAGGGCAAATAAAACAAACAACAAATAAAAATGTCTGTGCCCCAATCCCGTCGAGTGTATCTGCGGATGACATGAAACAACGGCAGCCGTTTAAACAAATTTCGCGGGTACTTTGTGACTGATCACAAATGAACGACGCTACTAAATACGATTCATTCACTGATGTCCCTGGTCCTGGCGGGAATCACCTGCCCGGATCTGTCCCGCTAGACCCCGATCTCAACCCGGCCGATACGCCGCCCTGAGCAAGTAAGCCTACCATCAATATGACCCCACCATAACCGCTATCAGGGGTTCGATACTGTCTGCAGCGTCTGCAGTGTGATTCTGACTCGCCCCCAGTGTCGCCAGCGCACTAATCTCCGGCGGCCAATCCTGGTTCGTCGTCGGGCAATGGCATTAGCAGCAGCCGTGGTGCTGGGCGCCCTTCGTCAGTGCCTTGCGGGGGTATCTTATCTGGAGATCAACCTCGACGCCAGTTCGATTATCCCCGCCGCCCACCCATACTCAGTACGCTCTCTAAGCGCTCCCTCGTGAGACGCCCCCTCACCCCCGCCGTCGGGTCCACCTGACTCGCTCCTTCCCCGCCGACTGCCACGCCCCCTGTCGGGACCTACCTGTGCGCCGCGTTCGCTGCTCCTCAGCCGCACGATGGTGAACAGCGTGTCTGCCAGCGTCTGGTACTGCACGTTCAGCGCGTCCAGGCTGTCCACCACGCGGCCGGCGCAGCGCCACACGCCACCGTTGCCGACGCCGCCGAAGAGGGCCGCCCTGCGCTCGTACAGCTGAGCGGGCGGCGCGCGCTGGTTAGTGGAGCGTTAGTGGGCGGCGCGGCGTGCAGGAAACCAAGCGACAGAGAGGAGACGGAGCCCGGCGACATGGCAGGGGAGGGCAGGGCAGGGCAGGGCAGGGCAGGGCAGAGCAGGGCAGGGCATGGCAGGGCAGAGCAGGGAGGAGGGGGAGGGCAGGAGAGCAGGGCAAAACAGGGCAGGGCAGGGCATGGCATGGCAGGGCAGGGCAGGGCAGGGCAGGGTGTGGCAGGGCAGGGCAGGGCAGGATATGGCAGGGCAGGGCGGGGCAGGGCACAACATGCCGGGGCAGCGCAGAGTGGGAGTGGAGGGCAGGACATGCCAGGGCAGGAGGCGCAAGTCAGGCCGGGCGGGGGTCGGGTGTCCCAGAGCGCTCCTGTGCGTGTACCCCGTGTTAGTGAGCGTCCGATGGCGTATAGCGATGAGCACACCCGGGACGTCGGGGACACACGAGGGGTGAGATGGGCAGGTCATGTGCGAGTGAGGATGCTGGCTAGTTTATGTCACGGGGAACGCTGGGTGGTTAGTTCAGCTGATGCAATGTCGCCAGACTCCCGAAAGCAGAAAGAACGAAGCGCATGCCACACACAGCCAAACTAGCTAACTTTGTACACACTAGACTCGGCTACGGAACGCACACACATGCCGTGAGAAGCAAACGTAAAACCACGCCATGCAAGTCGAAGAGCGCTGGACTACAAACCAGCCACAGTCAGCATTGAAGTGAACCGTTTTTATTTAAAAACAATACGTCGCACTGTGGAAGGTCGAGATCATCGTACCTGGGCCAGCATTACAAAGCGGCCACCCAGCCGGTTGGCGCGCTCAATGTAAGGCCGACGAGCGACAACCTCGTCGTACAACAGCTGCAATAAGGTCAACACGGTCATAACACACACACCACAGCACTGCCACCTTTCGGACAAGCAGCACATCAACGCTTCGCATGCACGCCACCACGCAGCGGCACTCCTACCGCGGGCCTCTGCCGGCGAGCCGTGCCCGACGCCGAGCCCAAGACCCACCACCGGAGCCCGGCGCGCGGGCCGACCCGCCGGCTGCCCTCCTAGCTGACCTAGCTCGGGCTGTACAATCCCCCCGCGAGAGACGCGACGCGCACCGGCGACCGGCGCCGTACTCACCCGGGCCCGCTCGAGCTCCAGCTCGCGCTGCCGGGCCTCCGACTCCTTCTGCGACGCCCACTGGCGCTCCATCATCTCCTGCTGCTCGTACTGGCTGAGCAGGTCGGCCGCCTGGTCCACGGCGCGCAGCCTGCCGGCACGCGGCCGCTGGCCGTCAGTCAGAGCACCGACCCGGCCCGGCCACGCCGTCAGATGCATACGAGCGGACGTGGACAGGCGGCATGAAGTTTCCAACAGAATCAAACAAGAATATACATGAGCACACTGCGATCCATGAAGTGAGCTCCGGATTGCACAAACGGTCAGTCGAGGTGCAAGAAAATAGCCGAAGGTCAGCGGTTAGTCCGAGGCGTGGCCAGCAACTCGCACAAAGCTCTGGCAGCATTTCCAGCTGTTTAATATGACGCATCGTCTACTGTGGCATTGTAAAGCTTGCTCCCCATTCCGGCCACACGACACAAAACCAACTTCCGCAGATCCCACTTCGGATAACACCACGTCGTCCTCAGCCAACACCAGCCATCCTCCCTCAGTCCTGTACACACAAACGCATAAACACATCCGCCGAGCCGGCGCCTGGCCGGCCGCAGTCGACGGCAGGCGCCGCCGCCGCACCACCAGCGGCCGCACCTGTCCACCACAGCCTCGCAGCAGTTGGTCCAGCGGCGGGTCAGCTTGCCCACGTCGTCCTCCAGCTTCTCGACGTCGGCGTGGTTGCGCTGGCGCGGCCGCGTGCGCTCGGTCGCCTGGCGCGTCTTGCTCACGTCCATGTTCAGCCGCTCAATCACCGTCTGCAGGGCAGAGCGCGGAGTGACGCGGTGCACGGTGGGAGAGGGCGGAGAGAGGGGTGAGCGGGGAGTGAGAGGGGTGGGGAGCGGGCTGCGCTCACCGACGATGAAGGGAAGCCACATGATTAACGTGGTCATTGACGGATGGGACTGGAGACCGTGAAACCAGGGCTGACGTCTAGCACGCTGCGCACTGGACTGATTTCGTCACCAACAGCGGCACGAGAGGACAGCGCGTAAACGACTACGACAAATCACGTCACTGATCATTGCGCTGAATATTGGTTGCGCGCCTCAGTCTATAGGAGAGAAAGGGAGGCAAGGGTCACAACGCACACATCGGGTTCCACGAGTGCCCACGAAATGCGATTCACGAAAATAACAGTAGTGATGGATGAAGCCTTGCATACACCGAGCGGAGGAGCGTTGTCGAATCCCAGCCTCAGCAGACAGTGCCGGCACCAGCGCCAGACTGCCGCGACCACCCCGCTACGCAGGCCGAGCGTGATGACCTCTCCTACTCCTCCTTCTCCTTCTCCTCCTCCTTCTCCTCCTACCCGCCCCGCGCGCCGCCTCCGAGCGCCGCTCACCTGGTGCTTCTGCAGGCTGTTCTGCATGTCGACGAGGCTGAGGTGGGCGGAGCGCAGGCCGTCCTTGTCGTCAGGCAGCCGCCGGTAGTCGGCAAGCTTCACCTCCAGCTCAGACACCATCGTGCCGGCCTCCTCCAGTTCGCTGATGGTCAGCTCCACACACTTCATCCTGTAGGGGCGGACGGCAGGGCGGTCAGCGGCGACGGCCGGTCAGGGGCTCACGTGCGGGGCTCAGGGGCGGGACTCAGGGGCGGGACTCAGGGGCGGGACTCAGGGGCGGCGGCGCCGAGTCAGGGGAAAGGTCAGGGATATAGTCAGAGTCGAACCAAGAGCTCAGGGGCGGGGCTCAGGGGTGGGCTCGGGGGTGGCAGCGCCGGGCGGAGGACAGGTCAAAAACATTAAATCAATGTCGAGCCAGGGACTCAAAGGCTGCCACAGCCTCAGGGTGAGGACAGCGGGTCAAAGGCGCGGGGTCGGGGTAGATGGGTCAGGCTTCTGATCCAGTTCATGGCGCATGATGCACCGATATGCACCATAATCGAACACACGGAAAGCATATAGGTGAATGCTCTGGTGACAACGAGAAGGCAAAGAATAGGAAGGCAGCTGGCTGACATACTTGACTGTACACCCAAGGACATGAACCAGAGCAGAACCAATGCCAACACCGAAAAATACATAAAATAGCTTCAAGAGCATTCTTCTCAGAAGACAGTCTTCGCAAAACGCGTCAGGGTCTGACTCACGGTCAGGAACTGCGTTCAACCGTACCGCTCAATATATAAGTGTGACGTTTTCCAGAGGTTGTCCCATTTGCTGACGACGTTGTCCAGCTTGGTCTTCATCGACGGTGTCTTCTTGCTGAGGGAGTCGTAAATCATCTGCACCTCCTCCAGGGTCGGCTCGTGACGCTGGGAAGACGGCCAAACGCACCCGTCACCGAGAACCAAAGGAGTAAATCGTCCAAGTTACCTATGATTGTCTGCGACAAATATGCGATGGTTTGTCAGCTGCATTCTTCGGAGGCGAGTGTGAGAATTTACCGAGTGAGCAAGGCACTGTAGCACTGCCAAGTCAGTTAACAAGCGAAGACACCCAAATAAACAACACCAAAGCTATCTGCGGTATGCACACGCTAGACATCGCCAACATAAGAATGAAGACATCATTTCATGTTAATGTCAACACATATGTCACTCGATTGTGCACTGCGCAAACAAAGTCGACTTTATTATACGCATTGCAACTCTTCATATGGATGTCCCAAGCAACAAGTAATAAACAGTCGCGCCGTCTTAATGTCAAACCAACGAGCCGTAGCGTTGCAATCTGACAGCACGGTGTGCTTACTCTCTCCGTGCCACAACAGCCATCAGCGCCGACCAGCACGCGCCACCCGGGAGGACGAGCCGCGACCAGACCCCGGACCCCGACAGCCCGGCGGCGGCCTGCTGTCGTCGCGCCCGCCGCTCACCTCCAGCTTGTTCTCCCACTCCTTGTGGGCGACCACGAGCCGCTCGAGGTCGTCGGGCCGGCGCGGGATAGCCTCGCTGCAGCGCTCGGCCAGCTGCCGCTCGGCCGTCTCCAGCTCCACCTCCAGCGACGACACCTTGGTGTTGAACTGGTTCGTCGGGCTCGCTGTCGGGCGCCGTGAGAGAGTGAGCGCGGCCGGTGAGAGGTGAGCGCGGCCGGTGAGCAGGGTGAGCGGGCGCCCGTGGTGCGAGGTATATCAGAGGGGCAGAATGACGTCGATGGCACGCGGCAATGCTACACCTAGCCAGGCCCTGGTTGGGTGTAGCATTGTCGTAGCATTCATAGGATCGTGACGTAAAATGTGGCAAAAATTGCATGTCATCCTTCCGCTGCGAATACATCGATAAGAGGGAGACTCCATGAAACAGCAGGCTGGATGCTGAAGCAAGAGACAAAGTAGCAACAATGCTGTCATACCGACAGCATTTTATTCACACCTCAAAGTCATGAAAAATCGTCTGATGCGCGATCAGCTGATCTACCTAAGCCATCAAAAGTATCCTCATCTCGCAACCATCCAACATACATTTCTCCCCCGCCAGAATACATCACCCCATCCCCGGCCGACCCGCTCCCGCTCCGCACACAGACCCCGCCGGTCCTCACCCTCGGCCGCGAGCCGCTCGAACTCCTCGAACAGGGCGTTGACCTCGTCGATCTCGCGCCGCAGTCGGCGCAGCTGACCGTCGTTCGGGTCGCCCTCCTGGATCAGCTTGCCGGCGTCCTCGTTCAGCGCGCGACGGATGGCGTCGCGCTGCTCCTTGCCCATACCCATGAACTGTAGACGGGGCCGCTCAGGTCAGATCAGGTCAGGTCAGGTCAGACAAGGTCAGGTCAGGTCAGGTCAGGTCAGATCAGGTCGGGTCTGTCAGCTTACCATGGGGCTAGTCCGAACCCCAGGTCAGCCAGGTTCGATGGATTCGAGGCTCGTCCATCGGTAGGTTATAAGCGTCACCACCATTAGCGCTGATGCGGCACGAAGGCACCATCAGCCGCCAATGCGCCTCTAGTACGTGAGCCCACCACAGACCTATCTCGTTGCTGCCAATCCGGTGAAATCATACGCCGAATCACGTCGCGGAGGGAAGGCGGGGTAATGGGTCACGGGGAGCGCTAATGGAGCTCTGCTCGCCGATTCCGTCAGACAGCGTTCACGCCGACTGACCAGACGCGGAGCTGAGCTGTTACGCGTCATTGACATCATCAGAGACCAAGTCCGGCAACAGATATTTCGTCCAAACGCCTGCACGCACAGCGCACCGAGAGGTGCGCCGAAGTCCTTCCCGCTGAGCCACCTCACCTGCTGCAGATCCCAGCTCTTGACCACCTTGATGGTGGCGAAGATCATGTTCTGGCGCATGCGCAGTTGCTTGCGCTGCCACAGCATGATGGACATCTCGTACTGTCGCTTCAGCTTCTCGACGGCGTCGACTGCCTCCTGGTCGGGCGGCGGCAGCAGGAAGCAGACGCTGGGCACCTCGCCCTCCTGGCCGCCCGAGGAGCGCACCACCCACTTGAAGCGCTGGCTGCCGTCCACCAGCGTGCACCGCTCCTGCTTGCGGATCGACATCTGTGGAACGGAGGCGGCCAGGTCACTGCATGCCGAGAGGCCTGAGCTGCGAGACAACCCCTGGGGGGTACGAACGGCAGGTATGATGGGTATCGGTGTGAAATACCTGGGCGGAAGCAGCGACATAGCGCGTGCTGCGTGCGCATGTCCAGGTGTTCGCTGAAAGAAGTCTCATCTAATACTCCATTTCCGGTTGAGTCTCCCACTAAGCAGGACAATTCACCCCCATGCACGTTTAGGCTGATTCTCCAGCGCTAACGTCGCGTTCCGCCGCGATCCCAGTCTGAACAGCGTGCTTCATCGGGTCATGCACAGAAATGCTGCGGGCACCCTACCGCCCTTCCAACGCCGCCCTCAGCCCACCATTCAGACGCCCGCTCGCACTGCGACGCCACGCGCTTAACCCCACTGCCACATGGCCTACGTGGCGGCCCATTCCCCGCCGTCTCCCCGCCGCCCGCTCACATTGGCACTCTTGTAGTTGCAGATGCAGGTGAGCTGGCCGGTGCCGGAGACGCTGGCAGGGTCGCGGCGCTGGCGCTGCGGCGTCAGCTGGTGCGCGCGGTGCTCCAGCGCCTCGATGGCCTCCGACTGCTGCGTCATCTGGTCGCGCAGCTCCTGCATGTCGCGCAGCAGCTGCTCGCCCTCGTCCAGCCCGAAGTCGGTCTGGCTGAATTCTGCATTCAGTCGGTCGTCTTGCCTGAGGGCGGGAGATGGAAGCAGCGGATCAGATGGGCGGTAGCCCGCGGCGCAATAGACCGAAGACGGATGTTTGGCCCTCCGGCGACACTTGTGTCGCTAAAGGGATACAAGTGTCGCTAGGCACGACGGCAAGTGTGGCTGGAACATTTCGCTAGCTAAACATTTGTTCAGTGAATGACATTTGTGGGGTTCTCGACCGCCACACCAGCACGCTTCATCCCGGCGCCACTCACTCGTTGATGACGTGCGCCATCTTGTCGACGTCCTGGAAGAGCTTGCGCGAGACCTGCGCGTGCTTGAGGTGCGTCTCCAGGCAGAGCGTGAGCTGCAGCAACCAGGACCACTGGGTCTGCATGGCGGCCAGGTAGGCCTCCACCGTCTGCGCCGCCGGGTGGTGCTGCGACACCAGCGAGCCGCCCTGGTCCTGGACGGCGTTAAACTGACGCTCGCGCCGCTCTAGCTCGCCCATCAGGTGCTGTAACGGGGGACACGTGTCGTTAAAATGACGTTCACTCCGCTCAGACGACTCAAGATTACTTCCCGTCCCATCCCGCATCGAGTTATGTAACGGAGGAAGAGTGCGTTAACACAGAGCCCATGGCGAGCCGTACCGGGACATGCACGGCAATAATTGGGGAGCACTAAAAAAGAAAAAAACACAATCATATCGTACAACGACCGTCCGTGGTTTCTGACATGGAAGATACAGTCAGGCAACAAATAAGTCATGCACAACGCGGACCTCATCTACCGTAACACGAAAGTGCATGGGAGCCTGCCACCCACTCACTTTATACGGGCCACAAGTGCCTGCAGACATAAAAGAAGAAACATGCAACGTTCCATAAAATGCCCTTCCGGCAAATGCCAAACTGAAGCAGGCGCATTGCGAGTGTCCGTTGCTGTGTGTTTGTGAGCGGAACTGCCAGTGGCTAAGCAACATCGTGCCCGAAATCCTAGTTGAAGCGATCAAAGGAATTGGACCGACGTTAGGCTCGCAGCATCGACACCAGAAAGGGTCCGTGACTGTCTGTGTTCCGCCTGCACCGCGAGCCCAAATCACTTAGACGACAAAGAGACGACGGTGGCGATGTGGGCATCCAACACCACCGGACATCGGCGAGCTCTTAGTCCGATTAAAGAACCGGCGGTCCCGCGACCCCGTCCCGTACCGCAGCAGCTAACGCGGAAAGAAACGGCACCACGGCACGACGCTGTCGCAATCACGCTCGGCTGGCGGTGACAGCTGGATTAGGTCGTCGAGTATACCCTGGGAAAGTCCAGTCCGGTCACGAAAAAGGTCGGGCTGGTGTCATACGACGAACCAGCAAAGTGCATGGCGCGTTGGGTGGCCCGCATGAAGCCCTTGTCCGAGGACAACTTCTGGACGGGGTATGGAGGGGACGCTATGCATTCCTGGGCACGGACCACCCCAGGCACTGAAGGCCGGTCGACCAATGCGGACAGCATCTCTGTACCAGACTGGGGTAAAATGACTCTGGGTCGTTCAGCAGCTTGAACCCGTCCGCAATGCCTGGGCTCTATGACAAAACTCCCACTCCACCAGCCTACGCCAAAAGAACACAAGACGCCCGGCCAGCGTCCGCTGCGCTCATACATCAGCACTGTAATTTCCCTCGCGTGCCGCCGCGCGCACTCCAATTCACGCGCTGTCGGTGCGTGCGACGCCTGCCAACGACAGTGATTTACGAGGACCGCAGGCGCACACCACGGGGTCAACACAGCCGACAGCCGCGTCCGCGCTGACTGGTTCGACGCCCTGGAGTGAAGTGTCTCAGGGGCATTTAGTTTTGCGGTGCTTGACTTAACATAACCAAATCCCTCATTGCATATTTTGAACACAATGCTCTCGTTTTGGAGTGGGAATTTGCTAGTAATAGGTTAACATGGCGTGTCTTGAGCTTGTGTGATGCTTTACTCAACTGCAACACCTCACATTGGGACAAGCATTTGGCGTCAGTGGGCTTCCGCAATTGGCCGAGAAAACCGCGCACCTACTACCGACTCAATCCGCCGGCAGGGGCCGACCCGTCACGGACGGGGAGGGGGGGGGGGGGGCTCAGAACCGGCCGCAGGAGGCGCTGGTGCCGACAGCGGACGGTTATGGGCTTTGTAGATACTAGCTGTGACGTACGTCACCGGGACCGACTCTCGAGTGGAGTCCCAGTTACGCTGCATGGGCGCATCAGCCGCCGCGGAGATCACGGATGCCAGCACACATCGGTCTTCCCGCAGGGCAACGTAACCGCCCTCGCCGCACAGCCCCGCGCCGACAGCTGCACCTCCCTCCCACCCACCGCAGCCGACCTGACCATCACGCCCCAGGGAGCAGCGACAGCGGTCCGGCCGCCGGTCGCGTCCAGGCGCCATCTCCCGGGTCGCGCGCCCGTCCGCCACACTCACCTCGTAGTGCGCTTCGACTTCACGCAGGTCCTGGTTGCGGCTGCTCCAGTCGCGGTTGACCTCGGTCTCCTCCTTCTCGTTCAGCCAGATGAGCTCGTTGGTGGCACCCTGGATGAAGTCGTGCAGGATCATCAGGTCGGAGAGCCGCTTGTTGGAGGTGGACAGCAGGTCGGCGTACGTCTTCTGCAGCTGGCTCAGCAGCCGCATGTACAGCGTCAGCTCCTCGTGGTCGTAGTTGTTCTTGGCGGCCACGCACCGGTCCAGGTTCACCTGGGGAGCAGGGGGACGCTTCAGACGCGCTGGGCCAGCACCAGAGCAGCCTTACGAGCGAACGGGAGCTGAGGCAAAGAAATCCCCTACGTCTGGAGCACCGGCGTCTGGCACACGAAACGGTGTTGCAAATCTTCGCGCCGCCAAAATCAGCTTCAGAACATGCCACGACCACAGCCACATATTCACAAAACGAACGATGGAAATGTTTTTGGAGACCTAGCCCTTATGTGGCCCGTTATAGTACACTGCCTGACCATTTAGCTCCCGTCAATCATGGGAGCCGGACACCTGGCGTTCCCCCCACCCCGAGGCGACGCCCACCAGTACCGCGGCCGCTGCCGACCCACTGCTGCATCGCCGACCGGCCCGCCAAGAGCGCAGGGCGGGAGGACGGGCGCGTACCTGGAACTGGTCGATGACCTTGTGCTCTTTGTGGTGCGAGTCCAGCTCCTCTTGGCACGTCTGCAGGTCGTGGCCGTACTCGGCCTCGTGTATCCGTTCCTGCCGAGCCGCACGCGCGGGTCACGGACGGGTCCAATGCGGGGCGCCAGGGGAGGTCGGTCATGCCGAGGGGACGTGCGACAGGTCCGGGCGGGTGCTGTTCGCTGCACGCCCGGCTGGAATCCCGGCGGCGGCGCCGGGGGGCGTCGCGGCCGTCACAGCCAGACGAGGCGCGGGCCCGCTCGTATCGACAATCGTTACCGCGGGGATGACCGCGGACTAGCGCTTGGGATATTGCCGCAGGCGGAGATGGAGCATGCAAAGATGACCTACTTGGGAAATGCATAAAGATGAGAGAAAATGCAACGCGCTGGAAATGGCTGAGCGTATGACGGAATATTCTGGGGTTACGAAGAGCCGGAGAGCGGCGACAAGAAAACACGCCATACAAAAACGTCTCCACCACGGTCTTTTTTTTGGAAACTCTTATCATGACCGATTCCAAACACTCACGCGGGAACTCACCACCTTCTCATTGCCACACTTAAGGCACTCCTGCTTAATTCCCCTCCAGGCACTCCCACAGGAGCTCACCAGCCGCCACTTAAGCTACTCACGGCGCTCGTGTCTTGATCCCATCTGGGCACTCCCACGGGTACTCACCAGCCTCTCATTGACCCACTCGAGGCACTCCCACGGGCACTCACCAGCCTCTCCTTGACCCACTCGAGGCACTCCTGCAGGAAGCGGAAGTTCTCGTCCGTCTCGGTCAGCCGCCGCAGCATCGTCTCGGGGTCCTCGGTGCTCCGCTTGCTCAGCGGCAGCAGAAGCGTGTCCTGCCGCACAGACACCGATCGTCACGACAAGTCGGAGGAGGTGGAACGGTCGCAGGTGTGGACGCCCGGCGACGGGCTCAGCCGCCGCGAGAAGGCGGCCTACAGTCCCAGGTCCGCGGAACGGCATCCACCTCTGCGGCGCGAAATTCACTAGGTTTAGATTTTTCCGATGCATTAAGGGAGTTAAAGTGGCAGCTCAATCTGGTCGACAAAAAGAATGTATGGTACATCGATGTGTACGTTGGACCAAAATATATTTCTAAAAACCAAACGTGGGCACGCTTTAAGGAATGATAGATGACGGCGTCATTTTGCAATAGCCACCAAGAAACCACCGCTGCAGTCCTAACGGCGCCAGTTCCGACGTCTGCGGTCCCGCAGCCCAATCCGCGCCGTCACCCGCAGCCCACCGCCACCGGCAGCGAGCCCGGCGGCTGACCGCGACACTCCACCCGGCCGGGGTCAGCCAGCACACGCCCCGGGACCGCGGCCGGCCCGCCCGGCAGCGGGTGACCCCGGGGTGAGGCGGCCGCGGACCAGGTCAGTGGCGCGGCGACGGTGGACAGAACGGCCCGGGTGCGCCGCGGCACGCCCCCTGGCAACGACCCGCTGCGAACGTTGGCTGGCCCTCGTCTGTGCTGAGGGCTACGTGCTTTTTGTGGGTGTGCAAGACCCTTTAGTTAGCGGTGTTAACGGCTAGTTGACGCGGGCTACGTGCAATCTATTGCGACGTCTTGCGTTGCGTGTCAGTTGGTACCATGCGGGCCGTGCGGTGATGAAAGATGTTTCCAGTTGCGTGCCTCGACGTGCGCACCTCTCCCCGCGCGCTCGCTCCCGCGACAAACCACGTCATCAATTTCCCTAACCATTACCGTGACGGTGTCGACTGTACCTCCCCTCCCATCATTCCACCCCACGTGACGCCCGGCGCCACGGTCGGCCGCGGCTCGCCGCGCAGCGGGGCAGCAAGCGCACCTGCATCGTGGTGTGCACGGTCATCCACTTGTCGTGCAGCTGCTGGACGCCGCGGTAGAGCTCGGGCGCCTGCGGCTGCCGGCCCTCCTGCAGCGTGTTCACGTCCGAGAACAGCGACTTGATCGTCTCCTCGATCTGCACTAACTCGTGGTCGATCTGCGGCAGAGAGCGGGGCGTTAGACGGCAATGTAGAGTGATCTGTGTGGGAGAGGAGCCGCGCGTCCAGGAGGCAACACCGAGGGAGGGTGGCGTCGGCATGCGTCCGTGAGAGAGAAGGCCAGTGGGACGGTGACGCGCCACAAGAGCATCAATCGTCAATTCGACGTGGCGGCGACACGCATGACAGAGAGTGATACCAGGCGAACTGTCACGGCACATAGGCGTGTGCCTAAATCTCGTATCTCGCCGTCTCGTCTCCCAAGCCATCACTGAGCCATGAGGTCACCCAATCTGCGACAGCCCACGCGCCAGCGTCGCCAGAGTGTGAACTGGCCTCGGGGCAACCGGCTGCCGAACACCGGGCGCGCGACTTCGGAAAGGTCAGACAAGTCTCTCGACAGCAGCCGCCGCCGGCCAGACAAGCCTAATCCCCTCATCGAACTCGGCTCACGCCCGGCCCTGCGCCGCCGAGCCCGGCCATGCATGCGGGAGCGGATTGACATCGGTTTACACTCTCAAGAATAATCAACCCCTCCGCGGGCGCCGCTGCCACTAAACCACCGCTGCTTTGACAGCGCCCGAGCCATGCATCACACCCGGCGTCACTCCGCGGCGCCCCTCCCTCTCCTGATCGCGGGTCGGCGCTCCAGGTCACCGTCACACCAGCTGGACCGACCCCCGGCGGCCTCGCCGACCGGACGGCGTGCCTCACGCCTCTCCCTCGCCTGACGCCGGTCGGCGCTCCGGGTCACTGTCACACCAGCTGGACCGGCCCCGGCGGCCTCGCCGACCGCACGGCGTGCCGGCATCACGCCCCTCCCTCGCCTGACCCCGGTCGGCGCTCCGGGTCACTGTCACACCAGCTGGACCGGCCCCGGCGGCCTCGCCGACCGCACGGCGTGCCGGCGCCGCGCCCCTCCCTCGCCTGACCCCGGTCGGCGCTCCGGGTCACTGTCACACCAGCCGGACCGACCCTCGGCGGCCTCGCCGACCGGACGGCGTGCCGGCGTCACGAGCCAGGACGCCGCCGCCGAGAGCCGGGCGGGGCCGTCCGCCGACGCGGCCGTCTCAATGTGAGGCATCGCCCAGCAATTGTCGTCGTCGACGGCAGTTAAGCGCGTACGTGTCCGGCTGGAGGACGGACGCAGCCGGCCGGGTCGAGCGCGAGCTGGACCGGATCGTAAAACTCAGCCAAGGATCAAGTCGGGAGGCCGGAAGGATGACGCGTCAGCCCGGGGAGGCCATGAGACGGGTCACGCGACGGGTCGACACGGCCTGAGAGGCGCGGGTGCGTGCCGAGAACACGATCGACGGTGGAGCGCGCTCACCTCTTGCCAGGAGTTCATGGTGGCCGCTGACCCACGTCCACCGTCGTCCCTTACTCGGCCTCTCAGCTCAACGCCCTTCGCCTAACACACCGCGACATGCGGCAACCGCTCGCAATGTACCATCCTAGTGAGCTTGGCCACTTCGTTCCACCTTCCCGTAAGGCACGTCACCATTCGCCACCACGTCCGCCGCCCAACACAGCACCCGTCGCTCATCACAGCGCGCCCTCCTCCACACACAGCGGCACAGCGCCGCGTCCGTCACAGCAGATTGTGTGCCAGCCGACGGGCGAGTGCAGCCGCGGCCGCCGGTGCCGTCGGCCACACGCGGCCGGCGCGGCACTCGTGACCGCGGCCCGTTCGGTCGCGCCGCCGCCGCCGCAGTGGCCGCCCGGTCAGGGGTGGGGCCGGCGCGGTCGGGCCGGCCGTGCGAAAAAGGCCGGCGGGCGCCGCCCGCAGCGGCCGTTTAGCGCCGGCCGCGCCGCACCGGCCGGCGGTGATCCTGCGTAAATGGCGCCGTCCGCTGCCGCGCCGGTGCCGTCACGCTCGCGGCGCTGATTTAGAGGTCTGATTCGGCGCTGGGTGCTGGCGCCTGGTCACGGTTATCACCGGCCGCCGGTGGGAGCCCGAGGTCGGCTCGCGCACGCACCGCCGGCTGACGGAGGTCAGCCGTCGCACCCGCTGACGGCTGCAGACATCGGAGGCTATTGTCCGGCGTAAAGCGACTGAGACAAAGGCGGGGGCTTCCGCTAGCTGACACGTACAGCTGCTCGCTTCTACCGCGTAACTCGGCGGCCCGTTTTACCACGCGCTGACGGGAGCGGTTGTCAGTGTCCGCGGCGGTACACAGATGTTAGCTTCACAGCTTACTGACTACGGCACGCGTCCCTGTCCGGTGTCCGCTAGCCCGCGCTGGCGTCTCGCGCCGTACACAGGCTGCATGATGCAGTCCCTATATGAAGACTTCTGTCGAGACAATGGCCGGCTTACTAGCTCACTGGGTGTTTCTGCACGAATAACAGCTTTCTTCTGCACCACTTACAGTCTTCTTTTGCACGAACGCTGCATCTTCCGCACATCACTAGCTGCCCCAACGCTTTGCAATCGCGCATGCAGCACAATTTCTAACCTTCCTGAAAACGCAAGTATCAGAGAAGAGAGGCAAACCAGCAGGACTGACAAGGACGATGAGGACGACGGACTGCGCCGGGCAGGCATCTCATGCTGGCGATGGCGGCCTTCCGCGTCAGTGCCGAGGGCGGCGGCTCGCAGGCGGCTCACCTTCTCGCAGTTCTGCTTCACCTCGGCCGGCTTCAGGCGGGCCGACCGCTTCGCCTCGTCTCGGATTCGCTGCTCGACGCCGTCCAGGCGCCGGTCGGTCGCTCTCGTCTCCCGCATCACCTGGCGGGGCGCGGGCGGGTGTCAAGGTCAGGTCACCGCGGTCGGTCATCACCCGACGCCAGACCGGCACGGCTCTCTCTCGCAGAGATAGTGGAGAAGCACCGACCAGTTACTAACGCCAAAGACGACGCCACAGACGCCAAGTCACACGCGCGGCGCTACGGGATAGCGGAGAAGCGTCGGCAAGTTACCGCTCCGCGAGTATCGACGGCGAGTGACGAGCGAGTGGGATTACATTCTGGAATGACAGAGGATCCGACAGCGGCGATAGCAATCCTGGGCCCACGATCCGGCTCGAGCCATCAGGCTTTTAGCGTCGCGGTCGGGAGATCTGGCGTAATCCCAGTCGATTCCCATCAACCTGTCTCTATAAAGAGCACTCAAACGCGACGCTCCAGTCCCGCCCATCACCTGTCGAACCCTCGCCGTCCTCCTCCCAGCCGACATCCGCCGCGGCGCCCCGGTCTCTACCGCCCCCCCCCCCCCCTTCCAGCCGACAGCCGTCGCGGCGCCCCGGTCTCCATCGTCCTCCCTCCAGCCGACAGCCGCCGCGGCGCCCCGGTCTCTACCGCCCCCCCCCCCCCCCCCCCCCTTCCAGCCGACAGCCGCCGCGGCGCCCCGATCTCTACCGTCCCCCCTCCCAGCCGACAGCCGCCGCGGCGCCTCGGTCTCTACCGTCCCCCTCCCAGCCGACAGCCGCCGCGGCGCCCCGATCTCTACCGTCCCCCCCCCCCCTCCCAGCCGACAGCCGCCGCGGCGCCTCGGTCTCTACCACCCCCTCCCAGCCGACAGCCGCCACGGTGCCACGGTCTCCGCCGTCCTCACCTTCTCGGCGAGCCGCTGCAGCCGCTCCATTGCGTTGATCTCATCGTCGATCGCCTGCTGCCGCTCCTGCAGCGCCTGCAGCATCAGCGCCCAGCTGCGCTCCAGCGCCGGCCCGTGCAGCTCCGGCTCCAGCTCCGCCTGGCCCAGGTCCGGACGCGGACGCTGAAACGACAGTCGAGATGCGGTGATGAGGCCCCGATGGAGGTCTCGTGCCGTCGCGGGGTTTGTCTGAAGGAGCGGTTAGCGTGATGGCGTGCATTGCGATGGCGATGGCTGTTTGTTGTTTTTGATAGTTGATGTCTGTTTGTTGATGTTTGTGCGGAGGGGTTTGCGTGGAGGAGTTCGCATGAAGGGGATAGAGAAGTTTGCGTGAAAGGGGTTCGCGGGGGTTTATGTGGAGGGGTCTGCGAGGGGTTTGCGAGCGGTTTGCGAGGGGTTCGCACGAAGGATTTTGTGTGAGGGGTTTTACGTGGAGGGATCTGCGAGGGTTTGTGTGGAGGTTTGCGTGAGAGCGGCGTTTGCGTGATGGAGAAATGCGTGTGGCGGCCAAAAATCGTGGTGGACCCGTCAGACCGAAATAATGGCGCGGTTTGTCTGGCAGTCCTGTTGCCGCCATGGCGAGATCTTTGTTGAGGCGTGGTTTGTGGGACAACGGCGGGCTCTGCTCGTGATAGATTGGACCGAAAGAGCAGGGTTTGCGTGATGGAGGTGCTCGCACGACCAAGGCTGTCGGATGTATTCCCGCGTTGACCTCCAGTGTGTCCCGTAAATGCCGAATTGCACGTTGTCATTGGTGGCTATGGCCACAACCGAACCCGCCTGTGCAATAACTGACGGAAATACAAAGCTCTTTTTCCGACAAAATGACAGGAGCGCAGATAAATCGACGCTTTAACGGCCCATTGTCACACATGCGTCGGTTTCATATCAATCAGCACTCACGTGTACCCGGCCTCGCATACGAAATCGCTCAGTCATCACTGACATTTAAATTGCGCGTTTGCTCGCAGTGCCTGGCTAAAACTCGGTGCAGTGGGCGGACCTGACCTTCCGAAAAATTTTCCCAGTAATCAGCACCAGCCAATTATTCCAATCAAAAATCCAGGTTCCGATGCTTCCGAACACATTGCCTTATCGAGAAGAAAGGGAGTGCCTGCTTTAAGCAGCACCCACGCCATTACGCTATCTCCTACTAAGATCGCAGTAGCCGGCCCTATCTGCCACGCCTTTGATTGCGTCACCACCGACAGCCTATCATCCGCACGCGTCCGCCCCTACCGCTACGATCCCCACCGACAAACAAACGCCCTGCCGCCTCCGGTCCAACCCTCCTCGGCACCTCGTTCTCGACTTGTGGCCCTCTCTCCCTCTCAATCCCGCGCGCGGTCCATTCGAGGAGCTGATTGCATCTACAACTCACTCGGCGAGGCACCCGCCGGCCGCAGCCCGCCTCCCGATATAGCCAGCTCAAAACAAACAGCATCTGCGGGGCGGAGGTGCCCGCGGCGCCATACATAATTCAGGGTGCGCCCATGCCGCGTGCGCCCGCCACATTCACTTACGGCCAGAGCTGAGCCCGGCCGGCACCGGCGGCGCGGCTGACGGCCGGCGAATAATTGGGGGCAGGACCCTCAGTCGGAAACACGCGACTGTCTGTGTTAGCTGGCAAGAGCACCGGGTTGTTCGTAACAGTAGGGCGGTCGATCTATGGGGAGCCGCACAGCCGATGGGCAAACTACGTGACGGGGATCAAAAGATGATATCATACACACAAAAACTCTGCGATATTGTTTGCTGTTGTTCTGGAATATGCTTCAATTGTGTTTCGAGTCCCTTTTTATCTAGTAACCGTTGGTTGAGGAAAGCTTTCCATAAAAACAAACACCACGGCACAACGCCGGCCGATCAAAAGGCGAGGGATGCTCAATGATCTATGCATTCCCGAGACGACGTTTTGAATCGACTCAGTCAAAACTCGATCTCAGTCAATAACAACTCCCATTAAGATGTTATGATACAAGGCCACTGACAAATAAGTTAACCGCCCATTTATCTATCACATTCGCAGACCGCACCACGCCCCAATAGAAAACCTTGTAGACTCTAAACAGTGATTAGGACAGATCGCTAACATTCAGAACTTTCGCCAAACAGCCAAGAACCCGGAGTAGGATGGCCTCAAATAGCCGGAGTTTACAATGTCCTCGCCCACTCGAGTCGACAGCTTACAAACGTCCCAATATTTCACGTGGACCCCCGCCTCCGCCGCGTCAGCGGAGCATATTTATCCGCCAGCTGAGCTCCGAAACATCGCGTAAACGTGCAGACCTCGAAAGACATTGGCAACGAAACCCTCCAGCTTCCATCCCCTGAACATCAACAAACTGGAGCGGTTAAGCGCGGCCACCGGTCCCACCGAACGCGCACGATTCCGCTGTTGTGAAGGCTGCACATCCGGCCGGGTTTGCGCCCGGAACGCCGCCACCCCGTCACCCGACCTTGACCCCAGGCGAGCACAACAATGCGGTCTCTCCGCCGTCCTCCTTCGGCGAGCCCACACGGCCGACGCGGCCCGCAGCCGCCCGAGAGAAGCGACGCCCTATGCCTGAGCACGCGCCGCGTGTGAGGCCACGAACCAAGGCACGCCGCAGGCTCCACAGAGCACGCTCGTCCCTCACGGCTCGACGCACGTTCCCCGGCGGCGGGCAGCGAAACAAGGGACAACGGTCCTCCGCGCTCCAGCGCCTTCAGGGCGCTCCAAAGGTCGCCCGCGGTTGCACGGCGTGAGCGATCGGTATAAATCATGGAAGCAGGGCAATCTAAATACCCCCATGGACGCGATATGAATAAGGTCCACGGGATTGTGCACATAAGTTATTCCCGGCGCCGGCTGAGATCAGAAGTGATAGCCTTGGGAACATCTGCAGCGGTCCGACCTCCGCTGATTTGCATGCATATCTTCCATTTTAAATCGGAGCGTCGGCACCAGGCAGCGCCACCGGCTAATCCCGCGGCCGACGCGGTCCGAGACAAGTTCATGGCCGACGCGGCTGCCGCATATCCGGAGAAGACGAGCCGGCGGCGGACCGTGGACTCAGCCGGTGGCGGTGGGACGCTGAGCAAAGATTCAGAGCTGCTCAGAGTGAGAGATCCGGAACTATTGCAAACAGCTGTTTTGGGGTGCCCAGAGACGTTTTAAGATTTAGTACGATTTAAGGTTTAAGAGAATTACAAATGTTTGGCGTCAAAGAGAACACAACATGACTATCACAATATGACTTAAATGACAAAAAAGTACAAAAATAGAAGACAAAAACATAACACAAAAGAGCAAGAAAAAAAACAATATAAAAATGAATACAAAACACCATTCGCGTGGCAAAGCGACACCAAGCCAGCCACTCAAACAGCTCGAGCATCTATAAACACAGTACGCCGGATGGCTGGTCCCTCCCTCGCGCGCGAGCTCACCTCGAGCTGCTGGTAGGCGGCGGTGAGCCGGCGAAGCTCGTTTTGCCGGGGCGGCACGTCGTGCGTGCGGAACATCTTGGTCTCGGTGAGCAGGTGGCGCAGCTCCACCAGCGAGGCGGGCAGGCTGCGGTCCTGCAGCCGGGCCGTCTGCTGCCGCAGCCACTGGTTCAGCCGCGAGGCGCTCTCCCGGTACTCGGACTGCACGCGCTGCGCCTCCTGCGGCGGGGCAGCGGACGCGTCACCGGTGCGGTCAGGTCAGGGGGCAGGTCAGAGGTCAGTGCGGGAGTCACGTTTGGGATCAGGTCGTGGGTCTGCTCGCGGGTGCGGTTATGGGTGCGGTCAGGTCAGGATGACGTCAGCGATCTGTTCCGGGGCTGGGTCAGGTTCAGGTCAGGGGTCAGATAAGGTCAGGTCATGGATAAGGGGTTAAGTGCGGCGTGAGATCCCGGGCCATGTCAGGGGTCAGGTCAAAGGCTGGCGCCGCCGGCTTGAGGCAGGGCAGGGCCGCGCCATTGATGAAGGCCAGTGTCAGCCAAATGGCAGAGTCAGACGCCGGCAAGGCCGCCGGCGTGGTTCGGTCGGCGGCGGGTCCGATCAGGGGGCTGGCAGGGTAGGGTGGCGTTACCGACCGCGGAAGGGCCGGACCGGTGGCCGGCCCTTCCGCCGGGGAGGCTGGCTGGAGGCGGGGTCGGTTCACACACCGGGTCGGTCGGGGCGGGTACTATTCAGTCACATGGGACATATCGGTCACGTGGACCATATGGGTCACATGGGGCACATTAGCCAGATCACATCACCGCCAGAGTTGCTGGTCGAATCGAGCCAGGTCAGGTGACTGATCTGGTGCGAGGAGCCGCCAGCCTCAGACGGAGTGCCGTGCCCGATCAGACCGGACGTCTAAATGACGGGGTAAAAAACGTGTCACGTGGGGTCACCGCGTCCACTCATCGGCCAGAATCCGCGGTCTGAGCCAGCAGACCATGTCGAGGACAGGGTCACTGTCCCTTCCATCAGCGAACACGATCATCTGGCTAACGAGCTGCCCAGGTCACATGACTCGGAAGGTCCCGACTCTTCACCCATCCTGATCAGCCGGCGGAGGAGCCGGGTCCTGTCACCACTCCATCTGTCGGCCCCAAACGCATGAGATTCACCGTCTCGCACCAGTGGGACCCACTCACACCAGCAACAGCCGCCGGCATTCGCCCATTCTCCGGCACGCAAGTCGTGAGCCGGCGTCACCCGACGGCGAGGACTAGCCGAACCGCGCAGAGCGTGGCCAGGGGTGCGGCGACGGAACAGAGCAGGGCACTGAAGTCTGAACAAGACGAGGGTGAGAAGCGCGCAAGGTCCCCCGCGGCGTACCGAGCGGATGAATGATTCTGGGGCGCACTGGGATCCCACTGATTCTGGTGGCTGGTGGATCCGACCACACCACTGCGTGCGCGGGTTCGTCGCACATGCAGTTCACCCGCGGGAGCCCGTCGCTGGGAGAAACAAGCGCCACACCCATGGTGGTGCACGGCGCCAGACATTGTTTTTCTTGCAAGCAACCTGTGTCCGAAACCCATGGAGCCCCAGTTGTACACACCACCCCCACCCCTCACACCCTCCTCCCACACCACCCCGCCTCTAAAGCGCCTCCGGGGAGGGAGGGACCACGCGTGACCGACGAGCCGTCGGAGCAGGCGCCGCCGTCCCAGTCACGAGCGCCACCAGCACGCGCAGCTGGCGGTCGGGCGGGAGACACGAGGGCGTCATCTCCCGGCCGAGCGCATACCAATTAGCGAGCGCTCCACGCCCGTCAGTGTGCGGCCAGCACTCCAAACGTCCAAACGTCATGCCAACAGACGCCCTGGTGTCCCAGATATGTATCGGGCGACCGGTTTTCGGGCGGTGCACCGAACGGCGCGAGGACGCCGCTGTCCCGGCGGCCGCGCATCGCCAAACGACAGGCTTCGCCGTTCGCCGTCGCGCCAGACCAACCGACGGCATCTGGCGGCGTCCTGGCACACGCTGGCACGTCCCTGATGTCCCTGCGGACCGACTATTCTCCGGCGCGGCGGAGCGGACGCCCGGCGCGTGAGCTCCCTCGCCCTACCCTCTCCGCGGGTGGAGATGACAGCGTCTCGCAGTTCACGGCGCCGAGAGCCTCCGCCGGCGCCATCCCCACATGGCGGGAGCGGGCGTCGGCGTGTTATGTTAACGGCGCGCCGGGACAGGGACGATGTTCCTGTCAGCGGCCGCCTCCTGTCCTCGCTGTCCCGATCCGTCCCGAGCAGACAGGTCCCGGTGTCGGCGGCGTGTCTGGCTCCTTTGTCTCCAGACGGGGCGAACACGTGTAACCCCAGCCACAGGCGGGGGTCTCTGCCCGCCCGGTCGGGGAGACACGAAGTGTTACCCCCGAATCTCTGGGTCCTGGGCCAAGGCTCGTTGCTTACGTCAGGTATGAAGGTATGACAGCGGGAGCAGAGACACGCACAGAAGAGACAATGTCACCTTGCCTCTAAGCGGATCACGTCAATTAGATACGACCAGATAACGAGAACACGCGGATGATCTCAGTTCAGGGTCCAGCTGTATCCTCTGCGCACACATACGCGTGGTATCACGCGACGGCGTCTCGATGATTTGGGGTTTGGGGTGCACCGACTACGCTGGTCATATGACGCCCAAGCGAAGGCGTCTCACTCGGGCACAGGATATCCAGTCCACGAGAGGAGAGGGGGTCTTGGGCCGTGTCTGTCCTCGGCCGCCGCCCGGAGGACGCTTGTGGCCAGCACTCAGCACACGCTGTCGGCCGCGACCCTCCAACTGCGGGTACTCAAGACTACCAGGCTGAAACATGCCCCGTGACTGCGGTAAGGGTCCCTGCAGCCCGCCCGAGCCCCAATACTCACCCCGTCGAACAGGGGGTGCTCGGCCGGCGGCTGCGGGAACACGTCGTACAGCGAGCTGACGTAGGTCAGCACCGACTTGTCGTCCGGGTCCGGCGTGTCGACATCTGAAACACGGCCGCACAGCTCCAGAACAGGCCGGCCGGCAGGCGGCGGCGATCACTCACTGTCGTTCACTGTGCGATGAACGCGGACGGCTCACGAGTGTCCACGCAAGATAAACCCATGCGCTGCGTGAACACACCCACCGTGAATTTGGTGCTCTTTTAAGGTCGTGTATGGTTGTCTTCGAGAGCACGTAGCAAAGCGACAATTGGAGGGCGCACAATCACGCAAGTAAGCACACGCCCATAAACACGTCGAGCGACGCCACGGTTGCGAACATGAAATACGGTGGGCACAGGCGATTATGGAGCGTGGTAAGAAGAGATGAAGAGGCCGCGTGTGGAGCTGCTGCGTCGAAATTCTACCTGCACCAGTATAATTGTTTCCAACTAACCACCGACCGCATCATCGACCGACTGCGCTGCCTACCGTTCCACATTCCAATGCCAGAGAGCTTCCTTCCGCAGCGCGTGACAGCGCCCTCCCCCCCCCCCCCCCCCCTCCACCACACATACACACACCTGTCCCGACCTCGTGATCGGGCCTCCAATCGCGCGTCGGGAGTCGTCTCACGACTCGACCACTACCGCGGCTGCCCCCCCCCCCCCCCCCCGGCCCTTGAGATACCATCACATCGGCATCGGGGGCCGCCGCGCACCCGGCGCGGTCTTGTCCCACCCGTCATCGTCACGCCGTCACGCCGTCATGCTCTCACGCGACGTGCCCGCCGTCGCGCGGCTGGGTCGTCATATGACGTCTGCGTAGGACGCTGGTGCTCTGCAGGGAAGCGGCCGGCCGCCCACCGTAGCGGGGGCGTCACGTCTGCCCTAATGACCGAACGGCCCGGGCCTCTCCCGGCGTCCGCACGCCTCCACCAGCGCGCTATCCCTCCCATCTATCCGTTTCGCCAATAATCACTGCCACATCCAAAGTATCGACTAATTTCTAATCAATTATCGGCGGTGGGCGGACGTGGTGACGTCAGCTGGCGCCGACAGCTCGACCCACGCTGCCCGGCGCACGCATCGGCTCTGAATACAAGAGGGCAGCACACGACCGGGTGACGTCATGGCTGCAGCGGCCGCCGCGACCAACTGGCACCAAAACAACGCCGCCGCAGCCTCCTCCGGCGGTCGGGGGCCCTGCGACGCCCCCGAGGGCTTGTCTATCGCACAAAGGCGTGATCGGTACCGTCCGGATTCGCGCACGACTCTCCGGAATCGGGGGATCGGCTGATTGCGTGGCACGTGCTGCGCGCCGGCCCGCCGGGCCTGCGCGCAGATCTGGCGGATTGGCTCGGAACGCGGCGGCGGCGGGCTGCGGCACTTTCGGTGGCCGCGTGTGAGCAGGACCGAGGACGCGGTGCCGTCATGATCGCAGGGAACGCCGCGCCGGGAGCCGAGCACCTCATCGCAAAGTCGACTGCGCGGCGAGGTAACAGTCGGGGCGGGACCGCACCCTGGGCGCGAATCGTGAGCGCATGAATCGGCGCGGTCCACCACTTCGGACTGTACCTACATCCTCAGTACCGTAGTTACCATAACGTCAAACTTTCGAAATGGCAGTGCCAACTGTTTCCGTTGTTAGGCATCGTGGCCATGATTATCGGAAAAAATAATTTTCCGAACGGTACTTCGGTTGTTAGCGGATACATAAAGCCCCAAAACAAGGGCAGCCCACAATAAAACCGTTCACGAGTCGTCATTTCGTTGGAAATGTTCCGCAGCTGGCGCCGACCGAGAAACAGGTCATCAAGTCGTCAAGCTGTGCTAATGAGGCTCGTAAACGTCCAGAGAGTGTCTCTGCGGGTTCGCAATTGATCGACAGCAAATGGATCACAAATGGAGTCGCTGGCAGGCCATCTTTACTTGTCAGCGGCGCTGTCTGCTTCTGCGGCCCACTAACCAGTGTGACTGGCACGCATGCGGTGTTCAAATGATAGCCCTATGAAAGCCCTATGAAAAATAAATGAAAGCCCTATGAATGTGGCTAGGTTGCAGGCCCATCAAGGGCATAGCGCACGATAAACCAGTTTCGCCCTCGCAGAACACGGCTACTTTAAACACAGGCGTTCGCCCTGGGCGCTGCAGTTCAACCGGACCGTAAGAATCGTCTCGAAGGGACGGGTTAACGGTTCAATGGCCGGTCCTGTTCTGTAACCAGCTGGCCATCATTGTATGCTAGCAGTTCCGCTTACAAGCTGAAGGACGCTCGCTGTTCGGTTTGACCGGGATCAGAGCCGGGATCAGAGCCGGGATCAGAGCCGGGATCAGAGCCGGGATTGGCCCGGATCAGAGCCCTTGCAGCCAGCGCTGGCCATCGAGAGAGGTGCGTGGTGAGGCAGATACCGCGGCCATTATGAGAGATCTCGGTTAGCGAGTCTCACCCCGCACTGGGAGCCCTGCTTGAGGCTTGTGCGCGCGCTCGGGCGGGGCTACTGCCGGGGCTGGGCACTTAGCCAGCTCAAGGCTGATAGCCGCATCCCCTGGAGGGGCGTGCCGTGCGAGGATTCAGGACAAAACATCGAGTGTGAGAAGAACGGGGCGGATACAGCCCGCTGCTGTGGGCTTCGTCCAAGGCTAACCGCACTTCCCTGCCGAGATAGCCTCTGGACCTCCACAGCTGCACCCTTCTCTTCCCTCGAGCCCCGTCCCAACCCCTCCGCCGCAGGCTGGGCTGGGGCTGGCGTGGTGGGAGCCGTCGGCGGTCACCAGGTGTGCCCCGCCAGCCCCGGCCGCCGCCCGGCCCGGCCGAGACCGGCCGTCTCTGGCCGGCGCAGCGCGTGGGTCGCAAGGCCGACCGAGCGACCTCCGCCCTGCCCCGGCGTACTCGGGCCGCCCACACGGCCCGCCCGGCAGCCGCCGACAGGTGGCCGCCGACGGCGAGCGCGCGGTCGGCCGGCCGGTGTCCGGGGGCGCGGGCAGGCGGGGCCGCCGTTCGGCGCGCGCAGACGCGCCTCGAGGATTCGTGGAGACGTTACGGGGATGTGTAGTCTAGACTGGTGCATCCGGGGCCTGGCGGTTCCATTTAGAGCCCCCCCCCCCCCCCCCCCCGAGGCCAGCCGTGTGGACCTGAGAATGACCCACGCAATGATGGACCGCGGGTAACAAGAGAACTGCGCGGAAATACAGGGGTGAAGACGATTTAGCAAAAGGACTGTGATTCAGCACAGAGGACATGATTCAAAGGTGAAGAGAAGACCCCATGATTCAAAGGCCAACAGTTAACGACTCAGGGGAGAGGAAACCATGATTCAAGGGGCGAACGATAGTGATTCAGGTGGCGAGACAAGGAACCGCTCGGTCCCACCCGCCGTGCGCCGCGCCCGGGGCGGCCGCGTCTGAGTCAGGAGCGGCGTCCTCCTGTGTCGGCGCCGGCACCCTCCGCCGTGGGCGGGGTCTGATGATGCCAGACTTCTCCCGGCGCCGCGCGTCAGGGCGCCGCTAATGAGCGAGCGCGGCCCACCCGGCCGGCCTGTGTCAGCGCTGCCTACCCCGCGGCCCGCACGCCGCACATGTGTCGACGCACACACCTGCGCGTGCACCTGCACACGCACGCGCCGGCGCGCTAACTTAACACCGGATCGGGGTCATGGTCGCCAACAGGAAGCTAAGGTAGGCTTCGCTGGCAACAGGTCACAGCAGGATCCCCTCAGGAAGCCTTGCATTCACGATGTTATCATTTCGGTTCTGGTTGTGATCTAATCATCAACGGGTGTCATCCCATGATAGATGGAATCATGAATGCAAGTGCACGTGGTTCCCCACACCCTGCACACACCAGGCGCGAACTCCATGACCAGCCCAAACCCCAGCTGGCGTGCACGAAGGCGTTAAGGCGTATGGCTCTATTTCGAGTCGGCCCGCCGCCGGGCACGGCACAGTGGCGTCGCAGGACCGGTTCGGCGCGCTCGCGGGGCCCGCCGGCCCGAAGTGCGTGACGAGCCGGCGCCGGCCCAAACATGGGCCCGGCAGCCGACTCCCGCCGCGACGTCACAGCGGGCGTTTGGGCGGACCGCGCCGCGCGCCGCTGGGCGACTCGTCACCACCTCCGCCGCCGCCGCCGCCGCCGCCGCCGCCACCGCCGCCGCAAGGTCGCTCGTGCGGAGCTGTGCACTGTGCTCATTCATGGCGAGCGAGCGTGCTCGGGACTGCTTGACCGCGAGCGGGGGTCACGCGCGCGCTGGACGTCCCCGCTCCGCCGGCCAAATACGGCAGCAGCGGCGGCGGCGGCGGCGGCGGCGCTCGGACACTGGCGAGGGAGGGGAGGGCAGGGTGGAGCGCGCAGTTTCCATTGCTGGCGCCGCCGTCTCGCCGACTGGCACCGGCCAAGTGCGGCGTTGCACGGGTGCGGGAGAAGGGCGACGGGCGCGAGGATCGGTCGCCGTGGATTTTCCAGGGAGAGGCCTATCTCGGGCGCATCTCTCTGTCGCCGCGAGAGGGCTATCTGCTGGGACTCCAAGGCAAAAATATATGGTATGAGATAACGAAGGAGTTTACCAACTGCATAGCATGCCACTGTCAGGGGTAACCGGACTGGACAGAGGCCTTTTGGCAGACATGGTGAGAGGCGGCCAATCCTCGGTCACGGGTCAAGAAAGGTCATGGCCATGAACTGGCCGCGGGCCCAAGCGACCGAGCTAACCCAGTGAGTGTATTCCATCTCCACGACCGCGACTGGAGGCCATTTTCCGGACGAGTCCACATGAGCACCGCTGATGTCCCCTGCGCCGAGATTTGGAAATGGACGCCAGCTGCCGAGTCATGTATGGAGCTTTAATGTGCTTTCGTCTACCACCAAGGTATTGATGCCGACGATAGCGGTCATTCGGGTGATGGATGTCGTCCTCGCACGCTGGGAATCTGAATAAAAACGGTTGATAGGCAGTCAATGTCGCCAGGCCTGAATCAACTCGTGAATCTGAATCAACACGTGGCCTGCGCCCTTCAGCAGCCTATTCGCGTACTCCATCGGTCAGATGATCGGCGCCAAGCCGATGGACCGTCCTCCTCAGACCCTCCGGGCGACCTTCAGAAAAACCGCCGCCGCAACATGCCAGAGCCGCGCGGCCGAGCCAGCGAGCCGTCCCTTCCGCCCGGCCGCCTCGCCCGGCGCGCGCAACAGCCGCCGTCCCCGCGGCGCCTGCCCATTCAACATGCGCCGCCGGGCATCCGCCGGAGCCGGCCGTCGCTCGGGCGCGGTTGGCACGAGTGATGCCGGCGCGGCAGCTGAGCTCCCCCAGTAGGGGGGCACCTGAGGCGGCCGCCAGCGGCCTTGCCGCGGCACGGTCGCGCTGCCGTTCATCCGGCTATGTCCGCTTTCACGTTCCGCCGCCGCCGTCGCCGTCGCCGCCGATGGGCGGAGGTTCGCCGGCGACGCCGCAGGCCCGGCGTGACGTCACTCGCCGCGATGAGGTGTCCGACCGAGCGTGAGCGATTCGTTGCCGGGCGAGGGTGACGCAGAGGGAGCGGGGAGCAGACGGAGGGTCACGCGCCTGGGCTGACCCGGCGAGCCCACCGGATGCCGGCGCGCGCTGCAGCTCGAGGACGGGCGGGAGATGGGAGGGCTGGGGGTGTGGGGGGGGGGGCGGCTGCAACTCTCACCCCACTGTAGTGGACGACCATCCTCCACCTCGACCTAAAGAAGGACGACTCTCCTCCGTGCGCGCGGGGAGCCGCACAACGCTGAGCCTCTTTTTGCAGGATGTCCCGTCATCACCGCGGCCCGGAGGCCGCTGTGAGGGGCCGGCCTCATCACTCGGCGCCACCCACAGCGAATTGGCCGACAAGATGGGCAGACTTCCTCCTACGGACGGGGCACGACGACCCGCCAATTGAAGCCCCTGCACCGTACCGCCTACGGCGTGCCCGCGGGACGTGCACGAGAGACTTGAAGCCGAGTGGCGAGCGCTTTCGGCTCCCACGTGGGGACCCGTGTTCGTATCCAGGTAGCGCCATGGCCTCAGGGCGTCAATATGGTCACTGCAGCCGCTGGCGCTCCATAAAAGGGCGCGCGACGGGCAGGCATCGAGTTTCTTTCAACAGAAGAGCACGATGAACGTGCCAGCAGTCCAAGACGATCTGTGCGGCAGGCCCAGGTCGGCGGAGAAGCGCGGCACTGGCGGAAAGCTGCAACCGACCGTCTCTAGCTCCGGACCAGGCCCAGATGGCCGTCCAGATCTAGAGGTCGGAAATGCGGCTGAGCGGGGTCAGAGACTACCGACAACCGGGTACGCTGACACGCCGAGTCCCCGACGCGGCTTGATATCGAGCTGCAAGCGAGCCACCGGCGCACCGCATGACCGCGCAGCGAGGAGAAAGCCAACTGAAAACCTGGCCATAGCGCCACTCAGCCCCACCCGACAGCCACGCCACACGACGCGGACCCGCACCGTGACCCGGACACCCACCGCGCCGGGGCGGCAGCGGGTCAACGCGTGCCAGCGTCGATCGAAGCCGGTCAGCCGCGCCCCTGCCCGCCGGCGGCCCATATCCGGACCCGGCGGCGGCGGGAGACCGGGCTTGTGCGCCGCGGTCGGTGACGCATCGCGTCAGGATCGACGCCGGAGGGCGCTACGCTGTCATGGGCGTGACACGTGACCCCCACCGGCGGCCGACCAATACTGTCGATCGATGGTGCCTGACGTCGGTCGACGAGCAGGTCGGAAGGGTGGACCGCGCGCACGTCGCGCCCCGGAAGGAGCCGACCTGACACGGAGCCGTGCTAGAGCCGTGACTGTCTTGGGTCGTGCCTAGGCTGGCTGGGCATGAGTCTCACTGTGGCTGAACGGCATACTAGCCGGGACTGTCCAGCTCTGCACTCAGAGGAGCGGCTAGAGTCGTGGTAGAGGTTATGCCTGCCATTAAGGCGATAGTCGCGCCCAGGACTGAGGATGATCGTGACCGTACCGGGGTCGTGACCAGAGTCCACCACGCAGTCGCCGTGGTAACCAGAACCGTACAGGGCATCAAACTCATATCCCGAATAAGGCCTCAGGTGATCACGTATAAAATCGAGCTTGCGCTCGCAATAGGAACATACCTTGAGAATCCCGATCCCCGAAACCCGATCCCCGAATCCCGAAACCCGATCGCCCGCACAGCCCCCAGAGCGTAGCGCCCCCGGTCGCCTGATGACGCCGCCCCTGCGTCTCCACCGCACCGGCTGCGGCGGCACAGGACGGCCGCGCCGTGGACGTCGCAGATGTAAACAGTTGGCGATGTCGAGCGGCCATGCATCGCAAACGTCGCTCGTTGAGGGCCGGGTCACCAAGTATACCGTTACGACAACTTGGAAACCTTCCAGTCCGTCGGTCTGCGCTGGAAGCATCCGCTTGTTGACGTGCAGACACCGGCTTTAACCACCGCCGTTATCTCATGTGAGCACTGGCTTGTCATACTCCGTTCGACGTGACATGAAGCATTCGTGCGGCTGAACCCCGTCCCAACATTTCCAACGGCCGTAGCCACCAACCGCATTGCTGAGAGCCATCGTCCACCGCCGTGACATCCGGCTCCCGCGACTCCGGCTCCCGTGACATTCGGTTCCCGCGGCACCGATTCCCAACAGGGCATTCATTTCCTGAGAGCATTCCGCCGTGATTTCCTCTTCCCACCGCATGGACGTTCTCGCTATTGCTCCCCATATCCACCGACGAGACGCGGTACAGGCCTTCCGTCGGACATCACCGAGAAATGTCCGCTCTCGACGCGGCGGTCATTCGGCGTCATTGCCTCGGCGGCGATCCCGGCTCGCCCACGCGAGAGCAGCAGCTCGAAACCATGGCGCTCGCGAAGACGAAGCGGCACACTCGGCGTCGTCGCTAGCGGTCCGGCCGCCGGCCGGCAGAAATCCCGACCGAATTCCGCGGCTGAATTTACAAACCGTCGCCTTCTCCGTCCGGCGTTCAGCACCGTCCGCCGCGTCGCCGGTTCGGGGAGTTCCGCTCGTGTAACACAACAAAACCGCCGGCTGTTTGCTTACGCGCGCGCACGTGACAGCGAGCGGCGCCGTCACCGAGCGTAAACAGCGCCGCTCGCCGCGTCGTCACAATAACGCCGAGGGGCGCAGGCGCCACGCCAGGAGCGCCAGACGGCGGGGCGGCTGCCGCGGCCAGGCCGGCACACTGCGCTTAGTCCGGCGATGATGGGGGCTTCTGTGGTGCCGCTGCTCGGGACCATCGCCGGATACGTCCCGATCTCCCCAGAGAGATCTCCTCAGATCCCTCTGATCTCCTCAGAGGCGCAGATCCCCTCAGAGAGACGTCGGCGCGGCATGCTCGCCGTCTGGTGTCGGTGTGGGCAGGGGGAGATCGCGCCCGGCGGTCACTCACCTTCGGGGTCCAGCAGGCGGGTGACGCCATACTCCGTATCCATCACATGGAACGCTTGGTCAAGCCGGGTGCGGGCCGACTTATGCTGGAGGTCCTTCCAGTCCACCAGATCAGGTCTGCGGGCAGGTCAAACAGGTCAGCAAGGGTTAGCACGGGTCACCACAGGTCAGCACTGGTCGGTACAGGTCAGCACAGGTCAGCATGTGTCAGCACGGGTCGACACAGGTCAGCTCAGGTCACAGCAACCTGCACGGGTCACAGAGGTCATTCCAGGTAAGCGAGAGGCAAACCTGTCACGTCGGCACATGAGTCAGTGAGCGTGACAAAACGTGATATAGCCCTGTCTGTTTGGTCATGTCCGACAGATGAGGACAACATCGACCAAAGACACAATTTGTGTCGACTCATGCTGATCGCGCATAACGAATGGCTGCGACAGGAGGCGGTATCTGGTCCCACGAACATCTCTCGGATCATGACTCCCACGGAGCCAGCGCTCAGGACATCCCTCCTCCACCGCTGTGAAGCACCACGACCGACGCACCAGCCCCGAGACCTCCGCCCCTCCCCAGCTGCGGCCCTGGTGTCGGGCGACTCAGCTGTATCTATCTCCGGCAGCGCGACTGCTGACGCCCCGACAAATCGCCAGAGTCGGTCCCCGCGCACCACTTCGGCGCCGGGCAGAGCAAACAACCCCATCGGTCGGTTATCACTGCCGGCCGATAAACAGACGGAGCGTGGCGCGGGGCCGTGCCAAGTCGCTCCGGCGGCTGCCGGCGGCGCCAGCTGTGCCGCCCGCTGCCGGGCCGCTCATGGCTCGTCGGCTGACCGAGTGTCGTGAACCCAACGTCCCGGCTGAAAACTCGTGGAAAAATAATGAAACGGTTATGTGATTGGCGCTGACGCTGGTTTCATGGGCGCGATTTCGGACGTTCGTAAGTCGTTGGTAGTTGGGTGCATGTGAGTTATGAAAGCAGGCCATGAACTCGTGACCAAATAGGGAAGTTTGCCCCCAGCTAACCCATGAAACCGTCCGAGTGACCATTATTATATGGTACTAAAAAGCAATGAAAGTCCTTCATTCTGGTAAGTGAGCTTGAGTGGACCCTTTAATCATCATGATCACCAGCTTATCTTCTGAATTTTCGAATGGCGAATGGCCTTCGCGATGGCGTACACGAGATAGCGCCGGTGAGTACCGCGCACGATGCCTTCCAATGTTCAGCCAGCGCGTCATTCCTCCAACACACTAGCCCACCACTGTGTTTGTCCCAGTTCCCGGAAAACGGAAGCGCGGTCTACCATTCAGCGCGCGTGGGCCCGGGCGCGTCTCGTCACTCTAGTTTTCCGGTAACAGAGGGAGGGCCACCAGCACCCCGACCAGTGTTTGTCGGGTATTTCGCACGCGCGACCTGAGGTCAGACGCCGCATCAAAGACGCGAATCATCAAATATCGTAACCATCATCATCATCATCATCAATATCAAAGCGACCAATCACGAACAAGTCTCCGCGGAACGCCGCAAGTGCAGCGGTATTTTTCCCCTCTCGCCCAAATACGCGCCTCGCGCGCGCAAAGCAGCCCCGCGGACAGGCGCGACATCTGCACTTCCACGTCGTCTCGAGCAGCACTGGCGATACGAAAGCGCCCACGTTCACCAGGAGTCCTAGCGGCGAGGGCGAGTGTGCCTACTTGAATGCTGCCGCTTATTGCGGGGTCATTACAAAGCAGTTACGCCCGTGTCTCTGGGGCGGCCATTGTTTCCGCGTGACACCGCGAGGTCGATCCGAATGGCTGCGCGTGATGGAACCGGCGCCGCTGGGTCACGCTACCGCCACCTGGCTGCCGGGCGGGCTAATAAGACACGGACTGAAGCAGTCCAGGCGGGCTAATGAGGCGGACTGAAGTAGTCCAGGTGGGCTAATGAGGCGGACTGAAGTAGTCCAGGTGGGCTAATGAGGCGGACTGAAGTAGTCCAGGCGGGCTACAAGACGGACTGAAGTAGTCCACTACGACACGGACTGAAGAAGTCCAGGCGGGCTAATGAGGACTGAAGTGGTCCAGGCGGGCTAATGAGGCGACCTGAAGTAGTCCGGGCGGGCTAAAAAGACGGACTGAAGTAGTCCAGGCGGCCCACATACAATACATAAACAACACAAAATAGCAGTGAGGGTACCGCCCGCGGCAGTCAGAGGCAGTCGGTGCCCACACTGCTACGGCAGAGTGACGTTTCACGAAGCCTCCGCAACCCAGGCTATGGCCGTGGTATGATCACGCACACAGCCTTCACGCCGGAGATTTCGTCGCAGCTGGGCGTGGACGTTAGTTTCGCAATGATCGCAGTTGGTACGGGGCAACTGGCTACCAAGCGGTCAATCAAACACGTGTCTGATAGAGCCACCGTGTAATCATCCACTGGATGCCCCAACGCGTCCCATGAATGCCGTAAGCGCTGGACATCCAGCGACTTACGGACCCGTGTATTTTCAGAAGACCGATTTGCTCAGACTATCTCGGAACGTTCCACATTTAACCCGTTTACATGGGCGGCCGAGGGAAGTTCAACTTCAGATCGAAATAGACAACGCGACTGTGGACCACGCGCTCAGATGTATTTGCATGGGCTAAACCAGTTTTACTTTCGCTTAATACACGGTGGTCCGAACTTAAGAAGCTCGAATCAAGGAACGAACTTTCGACACAAATTGCACTTTTGAGACGACTGGACGCAATGCTGCAGTTATGACAGTTGTAGAGCGTCCGAGTTTGTGCGGGGACTGAGGCCAAAGTAATAGGTGGGCAAATGGACCCCACCAGAACGCGACTTTGTGCAGGGCTAATAATTTAGAAAATCACAGCGCCACAGCATGGCGCGCTCCACTTCCACCCCCAGCATGTCGTCCACTTTGCCATGCTTTCTATTGTCCTTGTTCCATTTGCAATGGTCTTGAGCAAGAAAATTGTCAACAGGTACAGAACTGTACGCGCCAAGCACTTCTCGGTCACCCGCGTCACTTACAGCTAGCATGCTTCCGTTCGCTTCCTGTCAGATAATAAAATCCCTTCCTGAACAGATAATTCTCCCATGGCAAAAGATTTCAGCCGGAGCGTGATCGCAATCTGCTAAACGGCGCGCCGGCGCTGACATGAACCTGATAGCGCGAATCGAGGCCGGGCGCCAGCCCGATCGCGAATCTGAGCAACCCATCAAACAGGGCAATAATTATCCCCCGAGGCTCCAGCTGTCCGGTCCGAGCCCGCGTCCCGGCCGGCAGCGGCGGCCGTCCCCGGCGGTGTCTCATTTGTCGGCAGTGGGGCGGCCGGCGTCCCGCGGGAGCGAGCGGCCGTCGGCGGACCGGCCACGCGGAAGCGCCGACGCTGGTCGTTAGCGGCGGCCCGCCCTCCCCCCGGACGGCGCAGGTCCGTGCTGTGGAAGCCCGGCGGGGGGACGGGCGCCGGGCAGCGATATCACGCCACTCTCGCCGTGACTAAATGAACATGGGATACATTTACGACGCGTTGGCGCACTGATGCTCCTCCGCTGGCGAAACAGGAATTAGCTCGAGAATGGGGAGCAGCATTCAAGCTAGACCCATGAATCTAATTACTGGCTGCTGGGACAATGACTAGCTTTTTGCGGCCAGCACAGAGCGCCGACAAATTCTCACAAGTATGCTGGGAGTGTGGGGAAAACAGACACCTCATGCTTTTCTATCTCTAGACAGCAGCTTTTGAAATGTCAACGCCACTAAATGTCCAACATCACACCATTGCAACTCACCGACCGTGCTCTCCTTCACAGCCATGGTCTGTCGCTTTCACCAGCGACGACAGCCCCCCCCCCCCCCCCTCCTTCGCCCTCCCCCACCCCCTCCCCCGCTTCCACGTCGGCTCACCTGTTCCTGTGGATGATGGCGTTGAAGGCGAGGCCGTCGCGCCAGGAGGAGGTGAAGTTGGACACGCGTACGCCCGGGTAGCGCTCGGTGGTGCGCTGGGCCCAGTGGAGCAGCGCGTCCCTCGCACTGATCGAGTCATCGCCCTCGACGATGTCCGATATCTGCGGAGAGAGGGGGCGAGGTCAGCACGGCCGGCGGCGGCGGGCGGCAGGGCGACCGGCCAGCACGACCGACAGGAACAGCTCAGGCGCGAGGTGGGGCGGAGGCAGCGGGCTGAGGCAGACCTGACTCATCGCTGCTGATGACAGTAGCGGGCCGGCCCCTGCCCCACTTGCAAGACCACCCAACAGACCTGGGGTGAGAGGAAATTAAGGGGCTACATGTTTACGCACGAGCCGTTTATGCCGCCGTGAGCTAAACGGGACTCGGCAGGTGAAAACCAGGACAGCGACCATCAGACTTTCTGAAGTCCAAGGCTCAAAGAAGCTTTATGACTTGCGATCAGGGCAAAACAAACGAAACGGAACATAAGCGATAACATTCACCCTGAACGAATACAGCTTCGCAGGCGAAGCATACACAGAAACAATCGTCTCCCAGATAACGAAGAAGTCGTGTGCACGAGGCAGGCAGGTAGCAGCTTATCTCCACAGAAAACGCTCTCGGGTCACAACGTACGCCACTGGAATCCATCACCGGCCTGCCAGCCCGCCCGCCGGCCAGGCATCCTGCCCAGGCGGCCGGCATTGTCCGCATATCCCGACCCGCGCTCCACCGCCGGGTCGGCCGTCGCGCTGCCGTCCTGCCCGTATCCCGGCGCTGGGCTGGACGGGCGTGACGTTACGGAGAGCTGACGGAACGTCACAGAGTTGGTGTGACGTCACGGGATCGGTGTGACCTCACTTGGCAGGTAGGAGGCGATGTGACTGACGTGTGTCGCAAACTGACGTGATGGGAAGTGACTGGGGCGCCGCCACAGCAGCGGCACGGCGACACGGAAGTGATGTGACGCGCGGACGTGACGTGACGCCAACATCACGTGACACGTCGGGGGACTGACGTGACGTAACGGGACGAGATCCGGAGGAGCGCCTTCCCGATGGGCTTCCGCGCCGTGCAGGAGCGCCCAGCTCAGGCCGCCTTCCCGTCCGCCGCTCGGCCGGAAGAGAGGGGCCGCGGGAGGTCACATCGTCCGTCTGCCCGTCCGCCGCTCGGCCGGAAGGGGAGGGGCCGCGTGAGATCACACCAGACCAGCGGCCCAAGCCTCCATAGCCTGCCCGTCGCGCCGGAACTCTCCAAGCCGCCGACAAAAGCGGCAGCAGCTACCTCCGAGACGTGAGTGGGAAAGACACGCCGAGAGACACGCCCACGAGCTGACGTCTCAATTATTCCGTTCCGCTCTTCTTACGGGCCTAGGTGCGTCGCCCCGCGTGGGTGGCTGCAACGCCCCGACCACGCCATTAAAATTCCGCCATGAATAATATGACCTGTATTAATGACCCACCACACGCTGCGGAGCCTGACCCGGCCGGCCCCGCATCCCACCACCTCGACCGCCCGACAGCGATGACTAACTGTGCCGCCGCCGACGATTTACGATCGGTTTTATGGGGTCGGAATGGTCCGGCCCAGCCCGACCCGGTCATTGAGATCTGTGAGCCGACGGCCAGGCCAGCTCGGGGGCCGACCTGGGCCGTGACGTCACGCGCTGCGCCGTCGCGGGGGACGCCGTCGGCCCGATTAAATGGCGGTCGTTACGGCGGCGTCACGCCAGCCAGCCCCCGATGTCCGCGCGGCGGCGGACGGGGCGGGACTCGGATCTGAACCTGACCGACCGGATCTGGACTGGATCTGACCGGATCAGATCCGGATCAAATCGGACCAGATGTGGGTTTATCTGGGGATCGGATCGGACCGGACCAGACCGAACCAGGACTGGACCAGGGCCGCATCGGGGCTCGGCCGAAGTTATTCATCCGGGGTTCGGGTGGAGCCGTTATCGGTTCCGGCCGGTGCCGTTTTTTATCTTCCGTAGGCAAACGTGACCGAATGTCCCGCGGTGATGGCTGTGGTATTCCTGTCCCCGCCAAGCGCAGCTCGTTGCGAAGATCGCGACAACACCAAGCCCCGCCGCCCTCCCCCATCGCGATTTCCACTCAACGGACAATTCAGAGCAGTTCAGCAAAGGTTCGGCCGGGTTATAGGCGGGGCAAGGTCCAGTCCGAGCCTAGACAACGTTCTTTTTCATGTTCAGACAGCATCCGCGTTTTGATCAAGTCTGGTCAGGGTTGGCAGGGGTTTTGGCAAGGGTATGACAGGGGTCTGGCAGGGGTTGGGCAGGAGTTTGGCAGGAGTTTGGCAGGGATATGGCAGGAGTTTCGAATGGGTTTGGCAGGGGTTTGGCAGGGTATGGCAGGGGTTTGGCAAGGGTTTGGCAGGGGTATGACAGGAGTTTCGCATGGGTTTGGCATGGGTATGGCAGGGGTAAGGCATGGGTATGACGGGTTTGGCAATAGTTTGGCAGGGGTTTGGCAGGGGTTTGA